GCCAGAACCCTGATTTGCTGAAAATATCATAATATTAAACCATAGATCCACTAGGTGGAGGTCGAAATTCCCTTGGACCCTCTTCTTCCTTCTTAAAAAACTGCTGAAACTAGATACCTATGCGGCATCAGAGATGCTAAGGCCTCCCAATTAAACATATAAATGCATGGCAACTTGAGAGAAAAATATGTCACCTGTCCAGGTACAGAGTCAGTACAACCCCTCTAACACACACACACATTGTATGCTAAATGTATAAACATTTCCTTTCTGTCTACAGTTACACTCTAACGTATCTGTTCTAAAGAGAAAAAAAGATTGACACTGTCAGTTTCCTCAGTGTTGAGGAGTGAACAAAGCACCAGAGAACAAAAAGATGGCGGTGGCTTAGCAAGTTGAGCAAAATAGCTTTGAGCAGCCCTCAAACTCCATCTACGCCCTCAGACACAAAGGAAGCGTCTGCTGGAAAGAATAAAGAATAGTTCTAAAGTCCAGCAGCATCTCCATCTAATTGTAAAGGTGATCCGAGATATGTGGTAGGAGAGGGAGAGATTACTAGAGGAAAACAAAGGAAAATCATTTTTAAGTTTTATAATGAAAAGACATTCTTGTGTATCATCTCAAGTTACCCTGAATGAATCAAAGAAGCACAAGATAACCCACATACATGCTGTGTGACTCCAAAGATCACCAGCCCCAAGCAGTCATTTCAGAATTTGTAGTAGGACTTGCCTGGAAAAAAGAATGTTTGGTTCACAAAAGGCAGTCAGGAGCTAGAAAAGATCAATCCCTGTATAGTAATTTAAGTGAAAAAGATGACAAGGTTATGGAGAAAAACCTTGCGAACGGCTTTTCACCAGAGCGATGGTGGTGGCTACTGTCTGGGGACGATGTTATCTCAGCAGCTAGGAAATGCCTGTGCAGAATCCGCTACACCGCAAGGTGGAGTGATTACTAGGCAGGTGACAACCTGCACGTACCCACAGCGCTCCTGAGGCAGCAGCGTTGGAGCCAGACAAGCGGCCCCACCTCATTCTTGTGCCTGGGTCTGCTCAGCCTCAAAAGTGCTAAGACCAGACTTCCCCACCGCCATCCGTGACCCCAAGGGCCATGCACATGGGAGAGACTAAGGTGTTGCCTGCGCTCTGAGGCAAATGATATTCCTTCTATTTGCCAGCTGCCAGAACATCTAAATGACCAGAAGTACAAATATACCAAAGTTCTTAATTCATTTCAATTCTTTCCTAAAGAACACAAAGTTCTTAAAGCCCAACTGCATCTCCATCTGAGTGCAAAGGTGATCAACAGAACAAATGCAAATTTTACCTGGGACAGTCCCAACTGTGTGACTGTGACATGGGAAGTGGCATGAGATAAGGCCAAATACAGTCTTCGTAATCCAGCTATGCCATCTGCTTAAATGCAATGTCTTGTATATTCACTTATGTAGTTTATATATGAAAATACACACATCTTGTAATGAATAGTGAATGTGTATTAGAGCAGGCTAAATTAAATGGTGTGGTATGAATTTATATATACTCAAATAGCCTTAAATCAATCACAATGTTCTGGTCATTCGGTATTTTATTTGCTGTGGATATAAAAGCTCTTTCGTGAACTTATGTCATATCTTTTCCCCCACTATCATAAGTACCAAAATCTGCAGCCACAAAAACTTTGGACCTGGGATGAACCTGTGAAAAAATCTAGCCTTTAGAAACACACAAATACACCCAAAACTAGATATTACATTTAGAGGATTTACAGAATGGTTCTCCCTCTGCCTCAAAGTTCCAATCTAAACTAACTTCCTGATTTTACAGATGAGGGAACCAAGGCCTAGGATAAATGATGTATCTGAAATTCCACAGCTGGTTAGCAAAGAAGTCAGAACTAGAATTTCAGTCTTGGGTAAAATGTTCTTTGACCCAAGTCACCCTGAAAGTTTCCTTTTTGGAACACTAAATTATTCATTTGTGAGATCATAATCTCAGTGAGGGCAAAATCCAGCTTAATTGACCATAGGCCCCAATAGCTAGTCCAGAATTCACTAACGGGTAGGAAGGACTCACCAGTCACAGCCAGTTGGAAAGCAGGCTCTACACCGGCTGTGGTCTTGAGTGAATCACCCACACAGCCTGCCACCAAAGCCCCCTGGTAAATAAGGACACTGGTTTGCAAAGTGTCTGCCAAGAATTGAGAGTGTAATATATAAAATTATGATTTTTCTTTGTGCAAAACAGCCCAACTTTCCCATGCATCTCAGCTCCACTGGCCTCTTCTTGATCTAACCAAGGCAAGCCGTTCCAATAATTTATAGAGTGTCTCCATGACTCACCCTGGGAGGGGCAGGCCAAGGACACACAGACGAATGTCTCCTTTCATCCTACCCTGGGTTTCAGCTTAAGGCGAGGCAAGTAGAAAAACAAATTTTGAGTGTTCACCATACTTAAAAAAGAAACCAGTCAGTCTCATATTTAAAAAATGATCTGAAAAAAGTATCAAATAGATAATATCAGTAATAATAAGATCAATAATAATAAGGAGCAGAAAAATAGTGAGAACAATGGCTATTATTTTGAGCACCCGTGCAATGCACCCAGAAGCACATGGCCGACACCGCTGTGCTCAGTTGTCCCAGCAACCTTATAAGGTAGGCTTATTAATATCCCTGTTTCGCAGATGAGCAAGTGGCCCCGGAGAGATCATGGGAAAAGGTGTTGGAGCTGTGATCTGAATGCAGAGCAATCTCACAGCAAAGCCCACGTGCTCTCATCCCATATTTGCTTGAAAAATACATTTTTTTCTGGTTGGGTAATTTTATCGATTAAGTTCATTCTTGGCTCAAGATTCATACAGTAGGGACTGGGTTTTTCAAAGCTTCCTAAAAACAAAGCTGGGCTTAATAAATCTGTTCAGCGATGATTCGAGGGCTCCTCCTGCGGTCTCCAGTCTGCCTGTTGAGATCAATACTTCCTCCTTGGTTCATCTTCCCTGACCCTTCAGCTCTCATGAGCCAGTCCTTGCCGTGGGTCATCACTTTTCCAGGCTCTTGAGCTGGCTGGTGAGACATCCTCATCATGTGTAGGGAAGCTCGGACACATCCCTCTCCTGGATTTATTTCTCTCCCTCTCTGTAATCCCTCCCTGTTCCCAAAGCCCTTACCTGCCAAGGGGGTGAACCTCACCCCATCACACACGAACCAGCGAGGGCTCCCACCCAACCACACCCCCAAGAAGGATCGCTGGAAACATCTTCAACCATTCCTGCCTGTCATGCTTAGACCATAGCGCTGGAGCAGACAAATCACCTGGCTGCTTGAAATCCACTGATCTGCCCTCAAGATTTAATTCAACATCATGCCGCAGAGCTGCAGAATCTAAATTACCGAGTAGTCCCCGAACGAACAAAATACAATCATTGCCAAAAGTTATGCACAAAAATATTCACTGGAGCACTACTTGTAATACATCCAAACTGGAAAACTACCTAAATGTCCAACAACAGATGTGCAACTGAATACCGTGATAGTGAGGAGGATAAAAAATATAAACCATATGCAATATTGTAGCTGAATCTCACAAACAGAATAAGGAAAGTAAGCCAGACAAAAAAGAATAGATAGCAAATGATTCTCTTTACATAAATTTCTAAAGTAGGAGAAACTAATGAATGGCTTTGATTTCAGAAAATCAGTTACCTGCAGCAACATTAGGAGAATAGGGTTTGGGGTGCTGGTAGTTTTCTGGTCAGCTGAGTGCTGTTACACTTTATGTAACTTTTTTATTATCCACTTTATGTAATAAAAAAGTGTGTCCACTTTATGACAATTACCCCATCAAGCCATCCACTTAGATTTGCACACCTTCTTCTCTCTGTATTTCAATAAAAAGCTCCCCAAAAGAGATCCTGGAGAACATCTGGTCTGCTCTCCTTAATTACTATGAAGTAATCATTTCTCATGTATGTTAAATATCTCACGGACACACAGGAAATCCATGGAAGGGCTGGGGCTGGACATTAGATTTAACTCCCGATCCAGGCACCAAAGCTCCCTCTCAAATGCGGGAGGATGGTTCCCTAACTTCCTTCCTTGTCGTGACGACAGCCAAGATTTAGAAGGCTCAGGATCACGCTCCTATTAAAAACACAACCCAGAAGGTTCTCGTGTCCCACTGACAGCTGTGCCAGGAAGAGCATTTCAACACTGAGGATATGCTAAGTCAGAAAAAGTGAGACAGTGCTGTGTTCACACCCTAGGCTCTGCCACTTCCTAGCTGTGTGACCATCAGACAGATGCGCTTTACCTCTCTCTGAACCTCAGTATCCTCTTCCAGATCACTGAAATATCAACTCCTCCTTTGCAAGGTTGTCATGAGGATAATGTAAGGTGATAGTGGCAGAGCTGCCATGCCTGGCACTTGGCAAAAACCTAAAAAAGGTATTTGTTGAAAGAATACTGACTGAATCTTGACTTAAGTACTTGTCATATAGTAGAGGTTCAATTAACAGTTAATTATTATTTTTACTGAGCAAGAGAAACAGAGAAAGAGAATAAATAAGTTATGTGAAAACATCTCACTTTCTAAGCTTATAGAGTCATTAATGGGCTGACCAACAATTCTCTCTGACTCAGGTGCAGCACTGAAATGGTCTGTGAGATTAAAGAGCAATAAAGAATTTGAGAAGAGGGTGCTGCTTTTTAAGTGCTCCCAGGTTTGTATTTTCCTTCTTGGGGCCAAACACAGGTTTGCTCACTGACTGCCATAACACGTCTAAAATTTGACAGTCACCTATGTTAGTCATATTACTTTTAGAATTAAAAAAATTTTAATGGGGGGGTTAGGTGGGTCATAAATTCTCACAGACCATAAATAGACTGACATAGTCAAGTAACTTTACCACTGGGAAAACATTTACACACCAAGTATACAAAAGGTAACTGCAGCCTTAAAGATGTCAGAAATGAATAATGGTGAGGAGCTAAGTGTACTTACATTTTCACAAACAAGTTTAAGACTGATTTTTTTCCTTCAGCTCTTCAAACCCTCCATGCATGTACTTATTAGCAAACTGATCCATAAAGTTCTTTCATACTGAAAAAATAAACAAATACAAAAAAGATAAATTAAAACTTACAAATTATAGCACAGTAGAAAAAAATAAAACCTATAGATTGTAATAGAAAAGAAATAGATGGTAAATTATTATTCATAGATGGTATAAACAAAAAACATCAAATTCCATAACATGCGTTTAATTAAAAACAAGAAAATGTGTTAAGGACCAATAGATTCAAGCAACTCCCTTCCACCTGTCTTTCCGTCATCCCTCCCCACCTCCACTTCCCCGCACCCCGCCCTCCCTCCCCTCCTGCTTCCTCAGTTACTGGACAGCCTCAAATACTTCTTGAATCCTGAATTTCAGCAGAAAACCATGACCACTAATTTTTATAGTACAAAGTACCTGGCACATGTTAGGCCCTCCATGAATGTTTGTTGAATAAATGAATGAACAATCGTTTTATATCATTCAATTGGTAAGGTTAAAAAAAATTATTATTTTCTTGCCCAAAAAGAACAATATGCAGACAATATGCAGAAACATATACACAGTTTTCTAGACTTGCTATTCTGATTGACTCCCTTACCCCTTTTAAATAATATACTTAGAAAAAAATTTCCAGTTCTATGTATATGGGCATGTACATCTTCACTATTGCAGTGGTAAAATGTGTTTTTGTAATGAAGGAATATTTAGGAAATTTTGCTATTCAAATACCTCATAACTTCCTCTATGCAAATAGGAAAGCAGCCTGTCTCTGAGTTAAATGCTCTCAGTACTACCTCACATATGTTTTTCAAGCACGCATATAGGTCAGGGCAAGACACAGACAAGTTATTAAGCAGGAGAGTAGCTGCTTCCTTCTTCTACCTGCCCTTTAGAGGGATCAGTGACCCCAGATGTTTAAGTAAGTAGGGAAGCAAGAGTTCAGCTCCAAGGTTCCAGTAACTAAATGGCTATCTTTCCTGAGGACATTTTCCTTTTAGAAAGAGCTTCAGAAGAAGCAGGTGCTTAACACTTTAAAACGCATTACTGACAATGGAATTCTGACAATGGAATTCGTCTGACTGGGGGACAGAGGTTGTCCTGAAGGAATTTCCCAACTCATAAGAGTCTCTCCATTTAAGTCTCCCCTATAGCCAGTTTCATATAGGACCCATATGGCTACATAACAATCCAGGCACATTTTAGGCAATTAATGATGCAGATATAGGCAAGTCCTATTTTAAGACTGGTGTGTGCTCCAAAAGTAAACAGTTATATTAATCAGCAGTTTTCAAAATGAGTTTCCAGGAACCCTACCCAACAGATGCACCCAAGAATGGAGGCAGGGAGTGAGTGAGTAGATGTATAGTGGTGGGCTCGGCAATTTCACCTTTTTTTAGTTTATACTTTGATCCAAGATCTAGTTGGAGAAGTGGTTCCTTGAGGTGCTTCTAAAAAGGTTGAAACTCAATGATGATTTCATTAAAAGCTAGAGCAGAAAATTCCAATGAGCTCCTAACAGAACAATAATCACACCCAAATCTAACCACCACTTCTAACAGGGCCTTTATGGGGAAATGTGAGTCCCAGTCTGGGCCCCAGGGCACAGGTCAGCTGGGTCTGAGCAGGCAGGAGCTAGGTCTCCCCTTCCTTCCTCCCCAGGGCCTTCCTCACCTGCCCAGGAACAAACAGCAAAAGGAAGGACACGTCCACTGCCACAAGAACCAAACCAACAGCAAGGGGATGTGACTGAGGTGGGGAACAGCCCCTGGATATTCCAGAACAGGGGAATATCGGGTATGAAAGACAAAGTGGCTTGTCAATCACTTCCCCAGGCCCTGCCCCCTTCCCCATCAGCCTCCTTACTAGAAATCACACATATGCAAAGTTGAGATACTGCTCCCAGCAGAGCCTCTTGGATAGACATGAGGGAGGGAGAAACCAGTGTAATGGTTTAAAGAAAAGAAAAAAAAAATACCTACATTCCTTAAGACCCAATTCAAAACAACATATACAATTTTTAAAAAATTTAAAGAGAATTAGAAGAAAGTGTTGCCTGAACTTGCTCCAAAGGAATTCGTACAACTAAGAGGCACTGAGTATATTCAATCCCTCCTTCTGCACAGAGCTCTGGTTATTTGGCCCAAGCAGGACTGAAGACATAAAAACATTTATAAACATGGACCATTAGATTTTTTTGAGTTTCCATCATGAGCCTTGTTTAAGTCAGTCAAAGATGTCCTTTGTTACACAGTTTTGATCGAATGCAAGAGACTTAGTCATTTCCTCAGAAACAGACATAAGCTATAAACACAAACTAACCAACACAGCCGGCCACTTACAAAAAGGCTCCCTGACTACTTTAATTCAAACACAAGAGCACATTATTAAACTGAAAAGCCATTAAAACAAAAAAATCCAAACCCCTGCAAACAACATTCCTAGGAGAAAAAAACTCATATAGTGTAATGATAAGGATAATTACAAATAGCTTTTTATTGGACTCACAAACCTTTCCTATATGGAAGTTACAAAAAATAAAAACAGAAAACAGTCTATATTTGTGTTCATTTTAATAAAACAAACCCTAACCAGCCTGCCCAAATCTCAGATTTCAAGTTTCAAGAAAATCCTCCAAACCATTAAAGAAGGGACTTTAGTATCCTTGAGATGGAGAATACATCTATTATTATTGCTTATTTTCTAAATCCCTTGGCTATTCTAAATCATGACCATCATAATTGAGAGGAACATGTAAAACATAATCACTTGGATGAGGAGTCACTGTTTATTGTAACAATGCAATATTAAGTACTTTAAAACTAAATGGAATTCGAAGTCTCTATTCAGGTATGACTTAAGTATCTAAAGCAGAAGTCTGTGATCAGGACAAATACCGCCTGCCATCTGGTTTTGTACATAAACTTTTATTAGAACACAGTCATGCCTATTCATTTACATTTGTCTATGGCTGTTTCTGCAAGACACAATGACAGAGTTAATTAGTTGTATGACAGATTGCAGGACACGTATAAAATACTTATTTTCTGATTTTAAGAAAAGCTACCTAAGTGGACTGTTATCTTTAAGAAAAACTGACACTGGTTTGGTCATCTTGCTGGATAACTAAATTACTTAACCTTTAGCTGCTTTTTCTCATTTACAGTACAATAGATAATATTTACTGGGAAATTATATACACGGCATTACTCTAAGGGCTTTCCTTTTAGTAAATATACAATGAATTGATTCTTTCATTCTGGCAAAAACCCTGTGAGGAAAGTAATGATTATCCCCATCTTACAGATGAAGAAAGTGAGGGGTTAAATAACTTGCCCAAGGTCACCTTGCTGTTCAGGGGAAAAATTAAGATCAGAACTCAGGCAATCTGGGTCCAGAGCTGGTACTATTAATCTCTGTGCTACCCTGATGATAACTTTAATTGTAAAAGAAGTCCCACATAATAAAAGGAAATTGCAAGAGGCTTGTAAGTTAGGTAATGTTAGGTAAAACAGTAAAGTATCCCTCTGCACAGTTTAAGATAAAATACCTAAAAGAAGAATATAAATGGACTTCCTTTTAAGCAAGACCCTTCTGATTCTAGGATTAGAGTGAACATTGGTGTATGGGGAATGTAACAGCCCATAATACTTCGGTAAGTAAGCCTTCTCTGTACATTTTAGGCCCTTCAGAAAGCTTTTATTTAGGATACTTACCGGTGGGACCCTAAAGTTTCCAAATTTGGTCCCACCTAGGCTTACCCTCTGCCTAGTTTCCATCTGGGAAAAGGCTGCATGAGCATCAACAGAAATGCTGGAGACTGTTGTCCGCAGCCTGGTAAGAAGGGCTCTGCCCAGACAGGACGCATCACAGGGGTTCAGGACGGCCAGCCCTTGCTGAGTCATCCCCACCACTTCCCCAAATCCTCCAAAGTATCTGGACTAAATGTGTCACCTCCACGTAATCCAGCAAGAGACAGACTTATATGATTCAAATAAAATAAAGGGGGACTGTACAGTACACCTTGTTCTATAGTGCTCCACAGATGCTGCATTTTTTCTTTACAAAATGGTTTGTGGAAACCCTGCTTTGAGCAAGTCTATCGGCACCAGCTTTCCAACAGCATGTGCTCACTTCATGTCTCCGTGCAGCATTTTGACAATCCTCACAATACTTCAAACTTTTTCATGATCATTACACTTGTTAGAGTGAGTGATTACAGCTCACTAAAAGCTCAGATGATAGTTACCAACTTTATCAATATTTTTTAAATTATGTTATGTAACATATTTTTAGACAAAATACTATTGCACACTTAATAGACTACTGTGTAGAGTAACCATTACTTTTATATGCACTGGAAAACCAAAAAATTCGTTTGACTTGCTTTATTGTGACACTTGCTTTAATTCAGTCATCTGGAACTGAAGCTAAGTACCTCTGAAGTATGCCCATACCGGTAAACGACTCCTCACCAGTTCCACAGTTAGCTAGAGATGGTCTTGACCTCACCAGTTCCACATTTAGCTAGAGATGGTCTTGACCACCTTTTTCATCAGGATAGTTTTTAACTGGTTTTCAATGTCTGCAGAGTAAAGTCCAAGTCCTTGAGTTTGACATTTAAGACTCTCCTCATCTTACCCCTTTCCTGCTCTGCCAATCTCACCGCCTCCTACTGTTGGTCTTTCATACAAGGTTGGCTTGTTTTTTCTTCACACAATACCTACTCCTGCTACTGAGGCCAACTTGTTCTGTATTCCCTTATTTTTCTCTTCTACTCGTAACTCCACACCCAGTGTACAGGCCCAATCTCTGTGCTAAATATTATGGGATATAATTTGCACCTACTGTGAGGACTGGATCCTCACAATCTGGCAGACAAAACAGGTGCACAGAAGACTAAACTAAAACTGTATGTGAGAGGTTCAAAGGGCTGTAGGACTCTGCTTTGGGATCTAACAAGACTTTGGAGAAATGCCATCACTCAGTTGGACCTTGAAGGAAGGCGGAATATGAGAAAGTAATTGAGCATATAAAGTTGTAGGGG